CGTCGTGCTGGGCGTCTCCGTCGTGTTTGGCGCCTCCGGTGTTTGTTTCAATTGAGAGAGTGGGAGAGAGAGAGAGAGGGAGAGAGAGAGAGAGAAGAGAGAAAGAGAGAAGAGAGAGAAGAGAAAGAAGAGAGAGAGAGAGAGAGAAGAGAGAGAGAGAGAGAGAGAGAGAAGAGAGAGAAGAGAGAGAAGAGAGAGAAGAGAGAGAAGAGAGAGAAGAGAGAGAAGAGAGAGAGAGAGAGAGAGAGCGAGCGAGCGAGCGAGCGCCAGCGAGCGCGAGACAGAGAGGCAGACAAACAGACAGACACAGACAGAAACAGACAGACACAGACAGACACAGACAGAGACAGACAGAAACAGACAGAGACAGAGAGAGACAGAGTGAGAGTGGGAGTGGGACTGGGAGTGAGGGTGATATGTAAATATATAGCGAGCAAAAGAGAGAGCAGGACAGAGATCATGAGTGTGAGGGGAGAGCAAGAGCGCAAACTGCAGGTTAGCCTGCCCTGAACCCGTGATAGCCCGTGCATCCGTCGTGTTGGTCCCATTGGTTCGGCCTGAAGGAGCTGTCCGGTCTCACTCCAGCCCATATTTCTTAACATGTCAGGGCCCTCATCAGCTCGCAACCGTCGAAAATCTGAGTCTACCAACCCTCCGTCCCCAGTCTGTCCCACCCCCATGCAAGAGCTTATCAAGGCTGAAATCCTCATTGTAACGTGACACCAATATATCGAAATTCGTAGATGTCGCACTTCGGACCGAAACCCGTCATGGCCTTGCACGGAGCTTAGGTCTGCAATTCAATCTTATATCCTGAAGCCCAAAGAACGAAAGCAGGAACACCCAGTATGACTATGGCGGCTTTCGTGTCTTGAAGGGTTTTAGGATGTACGTAGTATGCTTAAGGATTTGGGGTCTACAGTAGGGCTTTAGGTTTTGGCCTGCTGCATACTTTTCTTTGCGAACGCAGCCATGCCTCCGTCGTGCTTGGCGCCTCCGTCGTGATTGGCGTCTCCGTCGTGCTTGGCGCCTCCTCCGGTGTTTGTTTCAATTGAGAGAGAGAGAGAGAGAGAGAGAGAGAGAGAGAGAGAGAGAGAGAGAGAGGGAGAGAGAGAGAGAGAGAGGGAGAGAGAGAGAGAGGGAGAGAGAGCGAGAGAGAGCGAGAGACAGAGACAAAAACAGAGGGACAGAGGGACAGAGAGACAGAGAGACAGAGAGGCAGACAGACAGAGATATACAGACAGACAGAGAGACAGACAGAGACCGAGAGACAGACAGACGAAGACAGAAAAAGAGACAGGGACAGAGTGAGAGTGAGAGAGAGAGAGAGAGAGAGATAGCGAGCAAACGAGAGGGCAGGACGGAGATCAAGAGTGTGAGGGAGAGCTGGAGCGCAAACTGCACGTTAACCTGTCGAAAGCGGTATTCTCGAACCCTCAACCCGTGATAACCCATGCAATCCGTCGTGTTGGTCTTATTAGCTTCGGTCTCAAGAAGCTATCCGGTCTCACGCCAGCCCATATTTCTTGACATGTCAGGGCCCTCATCAGCTCGCAACCGTGGAATATCTGAGTCTACCACCCCTCTGTCCCCAGTCTGTTCCACTCCTATACAAAAGTTGAACAAGGCTGGGATCCTCATCGTAACGTGGACACGACTATATCCAAATACGTGTATTTCACACTTCTGACCGAAACCCGTCATGGCCTTGCACGGTGCTTAGGTCTGCAAATCAGACTTATGTCCTAAGGCCTAAAGAACGAAAGCAGGAACACTCAGTATGAATATGACGGCTTTCGTGTCTTGAAGGGTTTTAGATGTACGTCGTCTGTTTAGGGTTTTGGGGTCTAGGGCTTTAGGTTTTGGCCTGCTGCATGCTTCTCTTTGCGCAGCCGCGCCTCCGTCGTGCTTGGCGCCGCCGTCGTGCCTGGCGCCTCCGGTGTTGGTTTCAATTGAAAAACAATAGAGGGGGAGAGAGAGAGAGAGACAAAGAGACAAAGAGATAGAAAGACAGAGAGACAGAGAGACAGAGAGACAGACAGACAGACAGACAGAAAGACAGACAGACAGACAGACAGACAGACAAACAGACAGACAGATCTACAGACAGACAGATCTACAGACAGACAGACAGAAAGACAGACAGCCAGACAGACAGACAAGGTTTTGGCCTGCTGCATGCTTTTCTTTGCGAACGCAGCCGCGCCTCCGTCGTGCTTGGCGCCTCCGTCGTGCTTGGCGTGACCGTCGTGCTTGGCGCCTCCGGTGTTTGTTTCAATTGTAAAACTATAGAGGGGGAGAGAGACAAAGACAGAGAGACAGAGAGGCAGATAGACAGGAGACAGACAGACAGACAGACAGAGAGACAGAGAGACAGACGGAGAGAGAGGCAGACAGAGAGACAGACAAAGAGACAGACAGAGAGACAGACAGAGAGACAGACAGAGACAGACAGAGACAGAGAGACAGACAGACAGAGAGACACAGATACAGACAGACAGACGGACTGAGAGACAGACAGACAGGCAGACAGAGACAGAAAAAGAGACAGAGACAGAGAGACAGCGAGGAAGTGGAGGGAGGGAGGGAGGGAGGGAGGGGAGGGAGGGGAGGGAGGGAGGGGGGGAGGGAGGGAGGGAGGGAGGTTTAGGGCCGGTTTAGGGCTTGGCTAGGCACGTTTATCTGCTGGCTTAGGACTCTCATATTCGAGGTTGCCGCGCGTGCGTTGCTTGCTGCATCGCATCCTTTACCATAAACCGAAAGCCTAAACCCTGAAGCCTGAACCAAACTCGAAAACCCACACCCTAAACCCTAAACCCTTTTTTCCAGAATCCAAAAGCCCATTCCGTAGACACGAAAGCCTAAACCCCTCCGTCGTCGCCTTTGGTCCTCACAGCGTCGATTCAAGTGTGTCACTGTGGTAAGGTAGGCCTTCCTAACTCCTTACACCCGGAGAAAACGATAGAAAGAGCGAGAGAGAGAGAGAGAGAGAGAGAGAAAATAAAAATAAAAAACACAACTATACATATACATATATATGTGTGTTTGTCATATGAATATGTATATAAAGGCAACAAAGAGACAGCCACTAAACCCTAAACTCAAACAGGGCCCTGGGCAATACCAAGGTACCTTGGGTGTTTAAGGTCTGAGCGTAGTTGAGTAGGTCTTCGAAAGCCCTAGGCCCTAGAGCCCTAAACTGGCCCTAAACTCCCAACCATAACCTTAAACATCGCTAAACCCTAAACGAGTACACAGAGAGAGAGAGAGAGAGAGAGAGAGAGAGAGAGAGAGAGAGAGATAGCGAGGAGAGCGAGGAGAGCCAGGAGAGCGAGAGCGTGAGAGAGAGAGAGAGAGCGAGAGCGTGAGAGAGAGAGAGAGGGAGAGAGAGAGAGAGAGCCAGAGCAGCCAGAGCACAACACAAGTTTCACAAAACATCCGCAAAAAGTTATCTTTCAAGTCACCGGGGGCATCGTTCGTAAAGTAGTGGATCCCCATTTACTGATTAAAGGATCCTCGTATTCAGGCCTCTCACATCAGAACTCTATAACCTCAGCACCAAAATACTGGGTTCTTGTACATTTCGAAACTGCTTAATTAGTATGGCTTCTTCAAAAAAACATAAACTTCTGAGAAAGAACGCAATCTAAGCTTTCAACCGGCCTCCACCTGCACATCTTGGAGCGTCGCGTTGTTCACCAACCCTGCTGTGCCTTGGAGTTGGGGCGGGGTTGTGTAGGGGACATGTTGAAGCTCCAGGCAGAAACATGGGACCTTGGACCAAATTACGCAGTAGGTGACAGGGCTATGCAGTGGCTGCAGGCTTATGTTATGGGGTTTACGGAACACTAACCCACTATACAGACGACTAGGCTTCTAGGGGGATGTGGAGGGGATGTGGGGAACATACTTCCTTTCCCTAAAATGATAAGGTACCTGGGTGTAGGATAGTGATATTACAGGCCAGGACCTGAAGTGGGAAAGTATTGCATTAATTGATTAGTCTTATGGGTTCGCTCCATCCATGCATGAAGGTGGCCTTAGCCCGAAAGAGTACTGTCCGAATGTGTCCGGTTGTGCATGCCCTCCTGTTTAGCTTCAGCAAGCCTTAAGTCCTGCACGCCAAACCAAAACCCACTTCATGATTTCCTTGGATCCTGAATTTGCCTAAACAGGGTTTACGGCAGATTCTTAGAGGGATATTACACCTGGACCTAGGGTTCAAGATGGTTCAAGCTTGCAGAACTCAGGGTCCTTCTGCAACACTCACGACCCTTCCCTTCAACACCTGGGCTTCAGTACAGGCTGCCTGGGAAAGATTCTTGAACGGCGACCGCGACGTTCTCTGAAAGCGTTTCGGCCAGCACACTACCTTGCGAAAGGGCCCCTTGCGCCCACTCTGCTGGGGCTCAGAAGACACTCGGCTCGGGCAACACGATTTAGGGTTTTGGGTTTACGGCAAAAGCCCCGGGCTGTCAGGGAGGGAGGGCGCGGGCCTGGCTCCGTGAGGGAGGAGCCCAAGGAAGAGGGGGCTGTGAAGCTCACGTCCATCGAGACCGTCTCCGCCTGCGACAGGCCGATGTTTGGAACCCTGAAACCTAAATCCCTGCACTGAGCCCCTGAACCCCGCACTAGCCGTGCCCACCGGACGCCCATTGTATGAGGCTTGGGCTATAGGCTCAGAGTGAAATGGTGTGTGGGTGTGGGCGGTGCTGTGTGTGTGTGTGTGTGTGTGTGTGTGTGTGTGTTGTGTGTTGTGTGTTGTGTGTTGTGTGTCGTGTGTCGTGTGTCGTGTGTCGTCCGGGGTGTGTGTATGTGTGTGTGTGTGTGTGTGTGTGGCGGGTGTGTGTGTGTGTGTGTGTGGGTGTGTGGGTGTGTGTGTGTGTGTGTGGGTGTGTGTGTGGGTGTGGGTGTGTGTGTGTGTGTGTGTGTGGGTGTGGGTGTGTGGGTGTGGGTATGTGTGTGTGTGTGTGTGTTTGTGTGTGTGTGTGTTTGTGTGT